ATTAGGAACGACTATTTAACGGTGTCAAATATAAGAGCCCGAATTGATAGTTTTAAGACATTCAAGTCTCGAATTGATAAAAATAATCTTTCAAGGCCCGAATTGATATTTAAACCATCTTTCAGCGCTTGGATGGAGAAAACTCCAAGACGTTACTAGCCAACCGTCTCCTCCTTCTCTCCCTATCAAGTGTTTTCGTCGACCCATTGGTCAAGATGACGAGAATGAGGACGATCCCATAGACACTATCCCTTTGTCTTCTCGTGACCCCAAGGATTTCATCCTTTTGTCCACTCGCGTGCCTTCTAAGTCGACCACCAAAAAACGCCCCTCATCCTCATCTCGTACTGCCAACTGGCTCGACCTCGACCGCTTTGGTCATCCTGGCCTACTGGTTAGCCCCAAGGACAACGACACTTACGATAATCCACCCCCCGGTGCCTATACTTTCTTCTAGGTCCAGTTCAGCATAGGCTTGCGTTTTCCAATATGCCAGCCTCTGCTGGAACTGTGCGCCTTGTATGGTTTAGCTCTTAATCAACTGCCCCCTAACGCCTTTAGGATTTTGATCACTTTCATCATCATCTCCTTCATCCGCATGGGCTGAGTCGACCTCCCATTTTTTCATTATTGTTACATAGCTTCTAAGCAATATGGGGGGTTGTATTTGAAAAGCCGCAATAATGCATGTTTCATAGTCGACCGTCCCTCAAATGTCCCCAAGTGGAAAGAAAAATTCGTATATGTTACCCCTAGAACCCCTTTTTCTTGGGCCCCTACTCCCTGGCTTAAGGATGTCCCTGTTGACGTCGAAACCCCCTCTAGAAACCCTATCTTCGATCGCCGCATAGCTATATGGAACTCGAACCCTGTCGCCTCCTCTACTCTGCTCAAGGACGACAACCTCCTCTATTACTGCGGTATACTCACCCACAAACCCTTTTCTCCTCCTGTCGCCGAAACCATCTTCAGGTTGCGGGTCGACCAAACTCTCGCTGACCTCCATATGCAAGCTCGAGCGGGTACTCGACCAGAGATTATCCTAACTCTTTTGTGCTTGTATTATCCTAACTCGTATCATTATAACTTATTTCTACTTGCTTGCAGAGGGATTTTTGCATAAGCCCGACTTGAAAAAGTCTGCGGACAAGAAATCCATGAGCAAGGACTCCTCGAGTGAGGTTGAACAAGCCCGACACGCCTCTTCAACCAAGGATGTCCCCTCGAAATCTGACAAATCTGGGGCTCTCCCTCCCTCGGGCAAACAAAAAGTTCCTTCTTCTCCACCTAAGCAGGCCAACCACCACTCCATCCACTCGACCCGAGATACTGAGGCATCTAAAAAATAACCATGCTCTGTGGTGGTCGGTTGAATCTGCTGGGCAGACGGTCGATCGCCCTAACACCCCCCACAAATGACCTCATCACGAGGCGAAGTTTGTAGGGGCCCAGCTCGTGCAGCAGCCCTCTCCTCAAATCTCCCTGGTGGGATCTCCGGTTTCTGGTCTTGGTTATCCCTGCTTGTATTTTAATATTTTTCATTCGAATGAACTGTTGTAGAAGTCGATCTGCGGGACCTTGATCTTCTCTGCTAGTCGTTCCTGCAAAATATCAAACATTAATGGCGATTCAGACTCGGTCGGGGTGATTTCGGTTCGTCCCCTGGAAATTGTCGTGGTCCGTTTGGGTATGACTTATGTCTAGTCTTGGGAAGTCGAAATGGCTTGTTTTTGGATCGTGCGTCGGGCTTTAAGTTCGGATAGTCTTATTCGGAGCTTTCTCATCTCCTCCTCTTCAGCTTGGTCCGTTCGCCTTTTGAGCAGCTTCTTTCTTAGATCATCCTCGGCCACGTTTTTTCCGAGTCGGTTGAAGACCGATCGGTTCGTACGACACGTACGTGAGTCTGTAACTGAACGACTCTCGTCCAATTGCTCCCGCTCTGTCCGAGTGGTGGTTTTTTCCTTCAGGCTTTGCTTGCCCCTGAGTACGTTGGTTCGGTCCTTCTTGGTCGGGGTTTTGGGTGCTTGAGATGTCGATGGCCGAATCTGTGTCATGAGATTCGATATTCCTTTGACAAAGTTCGGGTCTTTGAAAAAGGTTGAGTAGTCTGTCACGGTGGGCTCGTGGTTACGTCGGTTTTATTTATTTTCATTTCAAATGAATAGGTATATATATGTGTTGATGTCTAAACAATGACCATAATGTGTTCGAACTGTACACTAGAATGTGTACTCTGTTCGGTCTGCACGAATAGAAGTATTGTGTGATTCGGTATAATTTGTAAACCGGATGGCTATTCTATCTGTGACTTTTAGAGTATTAATGAGAGCATTTACTACATTGCATTTAATGTTGCCTCTTGCTTCTTTTATAGGAAGTGCGAAGACTTATTACAATTAATTTTAGGATTTTCATTTTCTATTTTTATCTATATGATGTTCTTGGATATTAGTCATTCTACATTTAATACCATTGTACTATACAATCTAATCTCAAGATTAATGGGTTATCCGGATCGCGACACGTGTCCGTGCTTAGTAGACACCATTAGATCAGTGATTTCCGAATCCTTTTGTACTTAATGCACCTAGTACGGATAATATCTAGTAATGATTAGAATTGATTCTGCATTCTCACTCATGTCCGCCCGGTATTCCACTTGCCTTTATTGCAATTGGTTCAACTCGTTTTCTCCGCGCGTATAGAAGTTCGCCTTGTGTCTGACTTTGTACTCATCGTGATTCTCTTCCCACCCACGGTAATCTCAGATAAAGGTGGTAGGCTAAGCCCTAAATCCCAGCTTTCTTGAAAGGAGAGCCTCTTTCCCCCGAGACTATAGAAGACCTGTTAACAACATCGACGAAAGCTACCCTTGCAGCCAGAGTCTTCCTTTCCCATGCCCCACTCCTTCCTTATAGCCCAGAAGCATCGTAGAAAGATTGTCTAGGGGGACAGGGTTGCTGCTTCCTTTTTCTTTTAATTAAGGGTCGGGTAAGATCTCTCTTCTTCCTATTTAGGGGCGGGGACAATATGCTCTTAAGGAGCGAAGAAGGTACGACGACGTACTCTTTACGGGAGGAAGCATGATTTTCGTTTGTTGTAAACTTTTAATTTTAATGAAATCTACATGTTTGTATGTGTTAAATTTACATTTATATGGTACCATTTTAATATTAAAAAATTATAAAAATAAAATTATATTACATCAACAAATAAAAAGCACAAAATTGTACCATTTTAATATCATACCATGTATCTTTATGTTATAAATAAATTTGTTAAATGAAAATGTGTATTATGTTGAAAAATATATGTGGTAAATTTTTATTCATATGTACTACTAAATTTACAAAATAAAATTAAAGTACATTTATAAATAAAGGAAAAATAATTTTTCCAACCTGTACTATACGTTTTTTTGGGATTTTCAACCTAAAGTATATTTTTCATAAAATGCAAATATTATCAATAATATATAAAATAAAAAGAAAAAAAGTCTAGCGCAGTGTACAGTGCATCACCACACCTGTTGAGATCTCTATAATACCACAAATAAATAGCGCAGGGCTGGAGAAAAACTACAACACAACTCTGGCGAAAATCAAAATAATCTCGTGCAGTGTTGAAGTAGGCCTTAACTATTGTGGTTAAAAAAATATAGTTTGACAAACCAAAATAATGTTTTATATAAAATTACTTTATTTTAGTTTAAAAAATATTTTTTAAATAAAAGCTATAATATTTTTTTTAATTATGCATCTTAATTCAACACCGTCTAATACACGGGTATTGTACTAATATTAGTGTGAAATTATGCAAGAATATTTTTAAATGGGGGGAGGATGTCTTTATTTCTAGGGGTGGTATCGGTTCGGTTACTGAACCGATAAGCGTATGCTTATACCGAACTGATAATGTCGGTAACCTCGAAATGCAAAATCGATACCGAACAGATTAAAGTCGGTTATCGAAAATTCGGTAGCCGAAAACTCGGTTAAAATCAAAACTGAACCAATTTTGAGCTCAAAAAAATAAATAAATAAATAAAATAAAAATTGCTAGTGTTTACATTTCTCATCAATTTTGTAATTTTTTAACTTCTTACCAATTAAACACACATAAAAGACTCGCAAATCTATTGAAGGTTTAAAAAACTTAAATTCAATATATAGAAGTTAGTTTAAATATATTAGATTACGGTTTTTGTGTTAAACGCGACTAATAAAACAATATATTATTGAACATGCAAGAAATAAAATTTGTGATACAACTTCAACTAACTTATCTAGTAACGACGGTACGAGAATAGACAACAGTAACGGTAGCATCTTCTTTAAAAGGAGTGAGACTGGTAAACCGACATTGCTCCGATGAGAAGGTGAATGAGACGATGGGTAGTGGTATTTTTTTCGTCATTTTGAGATTTTAGGTAAGGTTGAGCCCTTATTTCAATTTTTGAATACTAAACAAATAATTCTTGTTTTAATATTTTTTAAAAAAATATTCTTTGTTTTAATTATATTTTTTATCCTTATCGATTCGGTATCGGTTTTACCAAACTCTTAAACCGATGCGGAACCGATAGTGATTCGGTAACCGATAGTAGGTTACTGTTACAAGCGGTTCAGTACAATTCAGTTTATTTTCTCGTCGGTTCGATTTGGTTCAGTTCGATTTTCGGTTAAAAAATGTTAGCGCCTATTTATTTCTACCGAACAAGATAATTTCTTTTCGGCTGGGGACCCTCCATGAGCGTTTTCTTTTAAGCTCAGCTCAGCCCAACGTCCATCCAAAGGGATTACTGAAACCCCAATGTGATCTGGGAACCCAACTTTTCAAACACCAACAAAGTGCCAAATGTAAACTTGTGATTGGATAGAAGCACCTCACTCCTCTGCTGACGTGGCATTATGCTGTTTGCTCAATAAAAAGAGCTAAACGCTGCGAATTTTCTCCCCCTCAGATGCAGAAGATCAAACAAACCAGGATTTGGCTTAAAAATGGCGGAGTTCAAATTATATCCAATTTTGATGATCGCTCTCGCCATTTTTGCAGCTCCCACATATGGCGTCGAAGATAAATGCTCCGCCTGCAATGCTATTGCTGTGCGTTTTTTTTTTTTTTTTTTTT